AGGCAGCAGCTTTCGGAGGAAGCCCTGAGTTTGCTGCAGGCCCAGTTCGCAGGTACTGCTGGGGGCACTCTCCGAGGCAGGGTGCTGCAGGGCCTGCGCTCCTTCGCCCCGCATTTACGTGCTTGCTCGGGTTTATGGTATCGGTAATCTCTGGTCGTTAGACCCCGAGGTCCGGTGCTGTAGCACCAAGGCTTTGTCATTTGTAGGTCCAGAATGCAAGAACCAATCCTCAAAGAATTAAAATCTCCCTGAAAATGTCGATTACTTGAGGCTGGCTGCAGTGCTAAGGTCGGACCTGTAACCAAGGCTGTTAATCAAACTGTGCCACCTGTCAGCCAACGGATGACTCAGGAATAGAGTATATTTAACTAGCAAAACCTAGTCTTTTGTGCTGTCGAAAAGCAAGCTCTGTTAACATTAATAGTGTAACCTGAAGAAGCCATTTCAAATGGCAGAGTCAGCTGTAAGTTAATGGCTTCTCTCCTGTTATGTCAATTTTTAAGTAGCACCCACATGCAAGACACAGTCTTTACTCAAAACTGTGGAATGACATTAGATAGGAAAAGAGAGGAAAGACACGTTGGGGACTTGGCCTCAGACAGTGTGGTAGGGCACATGCTCCCTGGCCACTGCCTACCCCTCGGCAGAAGCAAGGCACAGTGATAGCACTGCTCAGCTGCACGCTTCACACCAGACTTCAGGACTGAGTGGTTCCAGAGGGTGCCCTGGTGCCTTGTGTTCTGCAGTGTGTTTGTATTATGCATCCCTCCATTACCAGCTATATATTTGCTTCACTAATTCCCCTTTTTTTTTTTTTTTTTTAAGCAGATTTGCCTTGTGAATTGCACAGCTGGAGGCAGATGGCAGAATACTCACCAGAAATGAAGCAATTTGCTTGTATTCTCCACCTCTACCATATTAAGGCCTATGATTATCTACGGAAGATTTTTCCCCTCCCTCATCCTTACAGCCTGACAAAGCAAGTTTTTATTGATTCATTCTGAATGTAATTCCAGGTATTCATGTAGAAATAGGTGTAACAGATGTGTCCTGGAAACATTCAGTAGTAGTAGTTTTTCCTAGCTTTGTTATAGTAAACAGAAGCAGAGTAGGAAGTGCATGTGAAGAAATATTGATACCCCTCATCTCAGAGAGCTGACGAGTGTTCATGCATGTGGGTCACAGCATGAGAAGAACACATTCTTCACATTAACACTTTTAGAGTAAGTGTGGAGTTTGCTAAGTGTTCCCAGATGAGCATGGGTGTGGAAAAGCTCCATTTCAGGGCCTCTGCTGCTATAGGGTCTATATGTGTTTTACTGTTCACTGGGGAGGAAGGAGGAATACAAAAAAGCAGAGGTGCTTTACAGCACTGGCACACGCTCTTGCCTTGTGATGTGCAGTGTAGACTTGTGAGAGGGGAAGGATGAGCCAAATTGTGGAAGGAAGGGCAAATATGAGTAAGGTATCTAAAAAGAAGCAGCAGGGGGCAATGTTAAGGGAGCACATGCAGTACTCCACCAACAGCCAAAACCGCATGGCAGGAATAAGTGTCAGCAGAGGACATCAAAACCGATGGGTCTATACATCAAAAACTTTGAGACTGTTCTCTGGAAAAGGAAGAAGTCAAGAAGGGAGCATGAGAACGTGAAGGACTGCATAAAGCAGTTAGAATAGAGCTTTTGTTTTTCTCACCTTGCCACGCAAGGACTCTGGGAAGTTAGTGAATCTTGACAAGGGTCTGTTTCAAAGTTGTAGAAGGGAGATATTTCTGTATCACATAACTCAGTTGTGTAAGCCACTGTAAGTAGTTTTGCAGGCTTGGAATTTACTACCTGAAGTGCTGTCAAACCCATTAACAAGGAGTGAGGTTGTAACAGCACATAAAAGCTGAAGAAACTCTCCTCCTAGAGGTTTTGAGTCTCAAACTCCTCTAGTGCAGTTGACGGATGCCCAACAGATACACACGTTGTCTGTGCCAGCCTGGGGGGGGGTTTCGTACAGCTTCCTCCAAACAATCTGCTTGAAGGGGTGCCAGGAGGTAGTGGATGGACAGTGCATTGAGGACAATGGCACTCCAAGGCTGTTGCATCTTTCCAACTGGATTAGGATGTACAGTGTGGAGAAAGCCATTTGGGAAAGGAGAGCAGCCTGGTGTTGCTGGCCCTCTGCAGAGCCGGATTCACACTTCTGTGTTTGGTTCTATTTTTCTTTTCCCTGTTGTCCTGATCTCCTCTACATTGGAGAGGCAGGAAGCTGCTTTGTTACCTCCCTCCATGGTCAGTACTTTTGCTTGTCTTCCCATCACTAGGGTGTGAGAAAAGAAACTTGGGACTATGCGTTAAGAAAGGCAGGGCTGCTTCCTTTATACTCTGTGTCTTAGCCTGCTCTAGAGCTCCGGACATGGCTGACTATGCCGTAAATGGTAAAAGGTGTTGACTTGCTTCAGTGTTCTCAGAATCACATCTCCTAATCGCATTCTCCCTTTTTTCCCAGTTGGCTGTCTAATAATGAGGCTGCTGCAGGCTTCAGCAACAACATTTTTCTCCGCCTTCAGGAAAAGGTGGAGAGAGGGGAACAGGCCTACCACTACTGCACCCTAATGGTACAAGACATGTCCCTGCAGAAGCAGCAGGAGTGGGACCCGCAGACCCAGCGCCTGACAGGCTTTATTGACTTGGGAGCAGGCGTCCTTGATGCTGACGAAGCTCCGCTTGCCTCAGAAGCGATAATCCTCATGGCAGTCGGCATCTCAAGTCCCTGGACAGCTCCACTTGGCTACTTCTTTGTGAACAGCATGACTGGCCACTTACTTGCTCAGCTGCTTCGTCAGGCCATCAATAAGCTGAACAACATTGGCATCACAGTGTTGGCTGTGACATCGGGTGCCACCGCTCATGGTGCTGAGACTGCCAAAGCTCTGGGGATCAAGATAGATCCCGAAAGGATTCAGTGCACTTTCCAGCATCCGCCTGGCTCTGCTCACAGCATCATGTACTTCTTTGACATTTGCCATGCACTCCAGCTGATAAGGAATGCTCTGCAGAGCTTCCAGAAAATAGAGTGGCTCAGTGACACTATGCAGTGGCAGCATGTGGTGGAGCTCGCAGCGTTGCGAGAGCAAAGGGTATTAGAGCCATGCAGTCCCAAGTCAGGTGGACCTGGGTGTGAGAAGAGTTACCACCTGAAGGTGAACCTTGCTACCCTGTTGTTCAGCGAGGGTGTTGCTGATGCACTGGAACACCTCCAGAAGCTGGGCCTAGCCTCATTCCAGAACTGCAGCGGTACTGTCAAGTTTGTGCGTTTGATGAGCCATCTTTGTGACATATTTCTTGGCAGAGGTCCCTATAGAAGGGGACTGAAGGGGCCTTTGCTAGCTGGAAATTACACCAAAATAAGCCACCTCTTCAATGAAGCCAAAAACTTCTTTGTCACCTTAACAGACTCTATGGGGAGATACATTATTAAGAGCAAACGCAAACTAGGATTTCTGAGTTTCTTGCTCAATGCTGAAAGCCTCAAGTGGCTTTACACCAACTACGTGTGTCCAGAAGGCACTCTTT